TGAAGGAAGAAAAACATACGTGTTATGTAACATCATTGTTAGTGCAAACAGTGGGAACGCTTGAATCACTGCCCATCGGTACAAAATTAGGAGCATTGGATCAACCACCATCACATCATTCGGTGCTGAAGAAATTTCTACCATTTTCTTTAACTTTATGGAGTGTAAGGAAATTAATAACAACAACAAAGATGATTGGTTAATAGGTAAAATTGTAATTTTGAGTCTCTTTCTTAGTTTCACTCGGTTATAGTAAAATATCAAATGAATTGACTCCTTCTTAAATGTAATTGGACATGTGGTCGAGACAAATCCAACAAAGAAGATAGCCATCAATAGAATGATCAATAAACTACTTGATGTAATTATTCAAGATTTGGAGTAAGAATGATTTTGGTTTTGATAATCATTATAGTTACTACAATGTTTATCTAAAAATAAATTTTCTAATCAAATTTTACCATTGTCTTTTAATTATACGTTGAATGTTTTTTTTTACGTGGGCAGTGGCAACATAATTAATTGTACATTGTGGGCCTCATATGGTGATAAACTTAATGGGTTCTTGGTCAATCACGACCCACAAAGTGCGGTTATCGTTATATTGCAACTTTGCAAAATAAAAAGTTTTAAAACTTCTGATAGCATTTACATAATATAGTCAAATATGAGTTTAATCTTCAAATTATTTTTACAATAACTTATTTTAATTATTATAAAATTAGCAATAACTTATGTTAATTATAAGATTTATTTGAAGTGATATACTTAATAAGTTAAATAATATTACTATAATATTTTTCTGTAAAAGAAAATATTATTATAGTATTATTATTACATACACTTATTATAAGAATACCCCATCGTGGAATTTTCACATGTTTTCTAATTATGATCATTTTACAAACAATTAGTATATCTCATGACTTCGTATTTGTCGGTGTATTATGACTCTTGTATTTTATTGATATTACACGAGCAAGATCTCCTGCATTTACTTAATTATTAATTTGAGTTCTCTTTTTTGTATGCAATTATGTACACAATAGAATTTCATAAGCGAGGACTGCAACATGCTCACATACTTATCTTTTTACATCGTGACTCCAAATACCCAAATCCATAAGAT